AAAAAAAAAAAAAAAAAGTATAAGCCAAGAGGACTGTGGTCAGAAATATATAAAACCTTTAACCTCAGATCTGGCACAGCAACCAGCTCAGTAAATCATCAGAAATTAGAATCCTCAGAAATATTGTGTGAAATATAACTAGAAGAAGCTTTTAACATTAAGACATTCAAGTCCACTTACAGGGCCAGGGACAACGTGAATACAAAGAGAACTTCTTTTTTCATTAAATTCACTTGAGTGCTCTTGAATTTAGTTACTTTAAAGAGGATTCAAATATGTGTACACACACTATTGTTCAAAATGTAATAAAATAATTTAAAATCTTTCATTTTTTTACTTCATTTTAAAATGTAATTTATTCCTGTGATGCAAAGCTGAATTTTCAGCAGCCATTATTCCATTCTTCAGTGTCACATGATCAGAAACCGTTCTAATATGCTGCTTTGTTGCTCAAGAAAAAAATCTTATTATTATCAATGTTGAAAACAGTTGTGCTGCTTAATATTTTTGTGTAAACGTGATCTTTTTTTCAGGATGCTTTAAATAGTACGTTCAAATGCATTTATTTAAAATAGAATTGTTTAGTGCCACTTTTAATCAATGTGTCCTTACTCAAAAAAAAAATCTTTACAATTTACAAATATATATATATGAACAAATTAAAATGGCTGTTAAAAGTGGTTTGTAAAATTCAGCATTCACAACACAATTTTGTTAATGTACGTGAAGCATGATTCCATATGAAGTTTTGGTACTGAGTTTCGGTAAATAAGCTTTAATTACTGACCAGTGAGAGAGTAGATGATGAGGCAGATGAACATGGATATCACAGAGATGAAGACCCAGTGGGACAACTTCCTGTTCTCCATACTACTGTAGACAGCAATGCAGGCCTCATGGCACTGAAATAGACACAGTATCAGCAGCACAAGCACAATCTCCAGCACGCTTTGCCTACACCGGAAAAAAGCTTTTCCTGTAATAACTAACTTTCTGCACTAGGCCATTTCTCACCGAATCCCCTGCTGCACAGCTCTTTTCATATCTCCATTTCCCTCTTCTCTCCATTCCCGCCTTGTAATCAATCAGCTTCAGGCAGCGGACACAGAGTAATTCAGCGCTCTTCTATTATGCCAGTGGACTTTTATTACATTTCTGACAATCCCCCAGCGTTGACAAATAAAACTCACCTCAAAGATGCACCATTTTTCAAGCTTTGCATCTGACCTGACCTTAAATATTAATGCGAGAGCAAAGGCAATTTTGGCTTCCCCTCATTTGTGGACTGGAGTGATGATATTCAGTGAAACAATTTCTCTTTTTTCCTCAAAGGTGAAATGGCAGCATGTTGAATAAAAGCAAGAAAACTCACCTGAAAGCCAAAGCAAATAGTCGGGATGACGCTGAACATCGAAGCCCACGAGCTTACTCTAAATAATAATAAAAATAATGATAGTTAAGTAGGTGGCTTTACAGATAAAAGTT